CTGCTTGTGCTTCCAGACTAGTTCTTGAGTAATTAGCTTCTCTGACATTTGGGGTCTGAGAACATCCCTGTTAGCCCACAGGCTCAAACCCTTGTCTGCGGCACCTTGTTCAGTTGTACTGTACTGTACAAAGCAATGATAATTCTCTAGTTCCCCAGAATTCCCTACACCCTGGCACCACTTGTTCCTATGTAAGTGGGGACTTGGTTTTCTGGTTGTTTTGAATCCTTTCCTGATTCTTGCTCCCTTTGTAAGGAAAGTCTATATCCTTGGGTACTGTTGAATCCGTTGTGTTAAATGATACCCCTAAAAGACATTTTAAATACGACGAGTGCAATTGCCAGAATCTTGAGCTCAGCCTTTCGTAATCCCCTGTGCAGCAGAACTCTAAGAGCGGTAAGTGTGCTGCAGAGCTCATGTGCTGAAAAGGAACAGGCTGACAAGAGGAGAAAGTAAAAGGGAGAGTTCTTTAAGTCTGGGATAGCAAATGTCACAGGCCGGGGGTATGGTGGTGACCAGACTGTATTGCTTAACTGTGTGAGAAAACTCAGGCCGCTAGCTGCTTAGTCTGACAAGGATTTGTACATCTCACAACTGAATGGACAGAAATACAAATTCTTTGGCAGGTAAAACCGTTTACATTTATGTATTTTAACTATTTGCCTGGAGTGCAGCTTAAGGGTTTGCGTAATCAGAAGAAGTGGTATTGCACATGAGGATTATCATGAAACGAATACCAAAGGGCTGGCTTAAGAGTCAGGCCAACTGTTTCTAAGGAAATAAAAAAACTAAAAAAAATTGCATTTTTGTGGCAATTGGTGTTTACAAAAAAACTAGCAACAAACTAACGTTGAATAAGAGGACCTATACTCAAATGCCTAACGTAAATGTATGGTTCCTGTGTGTGTTGTAAAGTAGCCACTCCTCCAAGTTCGCTCCCGTGATGGACTATAATTTCAATACAAATTAGTAAACTATTCTAGTCAATGACGGGAGCAAGTTTGGAGCGGTGGCTACTTTACAACAGACACATAGACCATGGGGAACAAAAGTAGCCCCCTCCAGAAGGAACGACAGTGTCAGCACCAATTCAGAGATGATTTGATTATCTATAGCTGAGTGATACACAAAATAAGATACATTTTTGTTAATTGTTAAGGAATTTGAATGCATTTTTAAACTTTAACTCCTAAGTTTAGTCACTTTAACAGTCTTGGGATAAATAAAAGACATTCTCTATTGCTGGGTACATGACCAAAACCCTACAAATGTGGGCATATGATCCCTGCTGTTATGTATGTATTTGATCACATGACTGGAAGACTAGCAAGCTTTACAAAAGTTTGCATCCATCTCTTGAATGTCACAAATGTTCCTTATTTGTTCTAGTGAAATGAACAGTTTAGAGGACACGCATCCCATTTCACTGTACAGCTATGCACTTCTGCAGATACACATATATACATTTTGCTATTTCACTCATCAGTAGGTACATACCTTGTCCAAGTTCTCTGCGGTGGACTTTGGGGAAAGCCACTCGAGTTTTAAGTGAAGTTTTCCAGATGTAGCTTCATCCAGAGTGAACCACTAAAATAAATATATATATAAAATGTTGAAGTGCAAATAAATATTTTCTATAACAAGTATTTAGGCTGGTGCCAAGATGGTGTTGGCAATGGTGAGCAGGTGACTCAGCAACCTGCCCACATCTTACTGCACAAGCCTGGCCTGCAAACAAATAAGATAATATACATACAAGCAATTCATGAGTGGTTTGTTTTCAGGGGGTCACTGGGACTCCTGCATTTTTTTTAGTGCCATCAGCCATTCAGATTTTCTGATTCTCACTCCAACAAATTTCAAAAAGATTCAACAATATTTCATTACTATTTCATGTTTTCTGTATTCTTCCAGAATTGGTCTGTCTACACTGTGATCATTTATGAGCTACATACCAAGCCCCAGGAAAACACTGCAGGCATCAGGTAGGCAGCTGAATTAACCGACAGAAAGTACCTAGCTTTAAAGCGTCACTTTGTCCATTCAGGGGGATGACATCATGGCACCCCCCATGTGACAGTGTTTGGGCCTGGAGAGTTGCCACTCAGGCCTAAACACTGTCACCTAGCAGAAGTTACATGCTTTCACATTTCAAAATGCCCTGCTACTTTCGCCAAGGCTCTGGCAGTGCAGGGAGTCATCAGGGGGGAACGTGGCCGGGGAATTATATGACAGATTGGGCTTGGCAATGTGAAGACCTGAATAGGCAATTTTAAAAAGATCAACAGTAAACATTACACAACAAAGGAGCTAACCTACCTCATCTACAACTCTCTCCTTCTCCAATTCCTCCAAGTCAATCAGCAAACTGAAAAAAAAAGCAAATCATGAAAATGACAACATGGAAATATATAAACCTTAATTACATCAAAACAAGTCGTTTTCTACCAATGTCTTTTTGCAGACCAGGACTTTTTTTTTATGTTAATGTTGCTCTATATAAGATGAAATATTTATGTCAAAAGTGACAACCTGGCCTTAAATGTTCCTAAGGAAAGAACAGTGCTGGAGTACAGGCCTGCATTTTCCTTTGTTAATATTCATATTGATCCCTATGGAGCCAATGAATCCCAGGCTGTATACAGAGTCTGAATTTCACTCCAAGTCAAGGTTCTTATGTATCTAATGCCCACCCACTGCCATCACAGACTCTTGAAAGTTGATGTTTTGGGCTAAGCTTAGTGCCATGAAGGTGCAGGGAATAATGTAAGGCCAGGTTCACACCTAGGCGTATCGAATATGCGCGTCTGGCGCGCGTTTTACCGGGATTCGCGGTACAAAACGCGCGACAAAGTGCGTTTTTGAGGGCTACCTGGCTCTATCCCAATGGATACGCGCGGCAAATATACGCCCCAAAGAAGCTCCTGTGCTTCTTTGGGTGCAGGGCGTTTTGCAGCGCGCTCCTACGCGCTGTAAAACGCCCAGGTGGGAACCATGCCCATAGGCAATCATTGGTTTTCACATGTTCAGCGTTTTACAGAGCGTAGGAACGCGCTGTAAAACGCCCAGGTGTGATCCAGGCCTTAACGTTGAGAAAAGTTGAGGTCCTATTTACAGCCTGGACCTAGTACACCCTGGTTTAGACTCCAGAATTAAAGAATGCCCAAGTGCTAAGACAATGCAGTACCTGCAGATATTATTGCACTAAAGCGTCTCCTTATATTTGTCTATTTGAGGAACAGTGAAAAATCTGACAAGCGCCCCAAACACTATAATAACGACTCTGCTTAAATGAGGACTTAGACAACCAACAAGTATAGGCATAGACAAGAGACTGTATCAGTAAAATAATAATAGAAGATTACCTGCCCAGAAAATCATCCTTGTCGCTGTCTTCATCAAAGAGCTCAATCTCCAATTCCTGTCCTGGATGCTCATGAATGAATGCCTGTGTATAATACCATTGATTGGTTAAATATTGTTATTACACATATCTTGCTACGAAAGTGATTCCAGCTTATGACCGTACAGTTAGCTTGTGTTAAAGATTGACTACAGCCAATATACTAATAAACAGTACATTTGTGTGTACTTTATATTTCATTTAATTTAAGTTGCAGCAATAGCTGTACTGAAGGTTCAATTTACAAAAAAGTATAAATCCTGAAGTCGAGGGTAAGCCTCTAAGGTCCTGCTCACACCACTGTGCTCTAGTAATGGACACGCTGGTGTGATGCGATTCCATTGTGTGATGCAGTGTGATATAGTGGCAATCTCACAGAAAATAGTACATGCATCTTTTCTGGAGCATTTTGGTGCAATAGGCAGCCTATTCAAATCAATGAGCTGCCTTAATGCACTTTAATGCTAATGCCCACTAGCGCAGAGCCTCACTGCAGAAGACGGAAGCATCCCAACAATATTGTTGGGATACACCTGATTGACAGTTGTCTCTGCCTCTCAGAGCTAGCTGTGCCCGCCCCCTTCCCTGTCTGTCCCTTCAATGAGCACTGGAGGAGCAGAGAGGGTTGGGGGACATCCATCACCGCCATCTGCAGGGAGAAGCCGTGAGCTGAGCAGCAGTTACATGATCACTCAAATCACAGTATAGAGCCGGCGTGTGACAGCTGCAGTTTCCCAAACCGGCTCTAAGTATTGGGAAGAGTATATTTTATTATTATTATTTTACAGGATTTATATAGCGCCAACAGTTTGCGCAGCGCTTTACAATATAGGGCAGACGTTTCAATCACAATACAATTCAAGACAAGATGGTAAGGAGGGCCCTGCCCCTGAGGGCTTATTTTACTGCCCCATACTTCTCCTTTAACTGGCAGTGCATTTCTCCCCCAGGTACACAATTATGTCCCTTCCCTTACTTGTAAGGCACCCCAGTTCATGTACAGTGTAATTATTTTGAGAGCTGGCGGCTACAAAAGCACGGCTTTATCATACAAAACTGCCACTTACTGATGGGCATGGACCACTATATTGTGCACATAGGCATCACAGGTTCATAATTCTTCACTCTGTTGCAGTTATCATTACCTCATACACTTCATTCCATTTGGGGTTCAAGTTCTCCTTAATGACTTTGCTTTGGAAAACCTGATTGCCGATCCTTATAACGCCATACGGGTCAGACTTTCCTTTTATGAGTCCCTTCATGTACGTGTCTTTCCACATCAGATCCTGAGCCTCTATAAAGTGGATCCTGAGAACACCCTATTAAAAAAGGAATATTCATTTAAAATCCCTTACAACAACTAAAGACATAACGTTTAATTAGGGGGCAAACTGGGTCTTATTCAGGGTTAGCTCATCCTTGCGGCCACCCCAAGAGCGCAATTCCCACATCCAAACTAAATCTTCTTTCAACAACATTTTTCTGCGCAGATAATGCCGAAAACTTTTTCCTCTCGACTTTTCTCATTCGCCTAAAAATGTACCTATGCTAAGTGAACCTTCCTTCCAGCATGCCTTTTCCAAATCATTGACACATAAAACATTTAACAATATATGAAAGAAAATTCCTGAACACAAAGCATGCCAAACTGCTCCACAAATGGTGACAGGTCCACCTGTTATTAAAGAGAAAGTAACACTTTCTTTCTTGTCAAGAGGTGTATATTTTATTTTGCAGCATTGTACTTGGTAGGAGAATAATGTTTTGGGGGGGGGGATTCTCCTATTTAGGATGATCTCTTACATCTCTTACACAGAAAGTAATGAAGCCAGAGAGGTGATTAGAATTTTTTTAAAGGAGTAATGTCATTGCCCCTATGTCGCTCATAGATGGTTTCCTTTAAATGTCACTACCATCTTGGACAGGCAGATCGTACTTGCAATCATCGCAAGCCCGTCTCTCTGAGGAGCGGGCTTCCGATGATTGCAATGCTGAATGGGCAGTGTGCGCGTACGCACACCGGCCCGCTCGGCAGTTGTCTCTCGATCATGTTAAAAACCAGCTGAAAATCGTACGATTCTCAGCTGGTTTTCCAACATGCTCGATATACAAAAGTCGTGCAACCGTACAGTAGGAACGGTCGCACGCCTTCTATACACTGCATGATTCTCGTACGAGAATCGTGCAGTGTATGGGCACCTTCACAGATCAAATTAAAAGCAATTATGCCACAAACTATATTAAACAATCAGCCTGTTTGATTACTTTCATTTTCCCGAGATAAAAAAAGGATTGCACCCCTTTCAGTGTTTCTAAGATCTGAACAAAATATTGATCAGACTATATATGTGGCCTTTCATGACGTTTGACAATGAATTAGACCGTTGTAATAATACACTGGAAACACTGCTGCATCTCCTGCACCACGACAAACATATTTCACAGCTGATCTTCCTCTAAGATCGAAGTTACTCACCTTAGGTATTGGGAAGCGTAACTGTGAAATCTGGAGGTCACTCACTAGAGGAACAGTAATACGATTGGGAAGAACCAAATAGTTGGAAATAATATCCAATATAATGGTATCAGATATGCCACTGCCAAAGAAGAAACATTTTAATTAATATTCAGACATAACTTATGTAATGCAATACAAATAATCAATAATGCCATTCATTCATGTAATAATACGGTGCTGTCAGCAGATCACCCCCTGCTGACAGAAAATTGTAAATATGAACGCAGAGTTTGGTAGATGTTGGATGGATCTTCAGTGGAACGTTACTCCTGCATCAATGGCTCCTTCAAGTCTATGGGACGTAAGTGTACAGGTGCAGCCAGCCAAGCACTAAATGTTTACTATCTGGGCTGCAGACATAGCAGGAGGCCACCTGAGGAGGTAAATATGGACCTGCATGGGGGCCCAGCCGTGCATTGTGAGGGGGCTGAGAAATGTTTTCACAAAAGGTTAACATGTACTTTAAAGAGACCTTGTCACCAGACTATGCATTTCAACACAAATCTTACCATGAGAATATATACACATTTAACAAACTGTTTGCATGTTATTTACCCATAAAAGACTCCCTTGTATTAAGCTCCAATTTAAGTGACATTTTATAGTATTCCTTTTCACTCCTCCCCTGAATGCTACATAAAAGGTTATGTAGGGAGCAGAAGCGCCTGGCCAGCACAGACAGTCATTAGACACTCCCACAAGAGGATTGGGCTATGACATGCAAAAAGGGAGGGAGGGCACTGTGCTAGCAAAGTGACTAATCAATGTCTCTAGCAAGTTCAAAGGCATATTGCAAGTAAATAAAAAAACAAAAAAAATCATGTATGGAAAGGAAAAACACTGCAAGTAAGCCCTCGTTCACACCTGAACGTTTTGTAGCGCGTTCTACGCTCGACGAACGCTCTACAAAACGCTCAAAAATATAAATCCCATTGTATTCAATGGTCTCGTTCCCACCTTGGCGTATTTCTGCCCGTCCCTAACGCGCTACAACCCGGCCCACGCCTGAAAAGGTACAGGTACTACTTTGGGCCGTTTTGTTGCGTGTTTCCATTGGGCTACAGCCAAGTAGCCTTCGGGGTCGCGTGACTTTTTTTACCGCGAATCGCGCTAAAAAAACGCGCGACAGACGCGCATATGCAATACGGCTAGGTGTGAACGAGACCTAAGAGTGAGAGACGGGGTCTCTTTAAGGACGTATTGATGATTACAGAGCTGCATTATTTTCATCTTCTATATCTTCCTGGAGTTCAGGTTTAAAGAATAGGTGCATTTTCTGTAATAGGAATTACACATGACCCCTAGCCCTCCTTATAGCAATAGTCTAAAAAAAAAAAAAAACAGACCTCACGTTTTATTTTTTTAAACTTAGCCTATGAAGAGTGTCAGAGAGAGGAGTCATGTTAAATTTTATTTACAGACACTGTGCTTATCCTTTATGGCTTTTCTACTGAGCTGAATTTTTCTGCTCACCACCACACATGTATGGTGTGATCAGCACATACAATTGCACTATAAATGTGCATTGCTGTGCAGAAAAACGCAGCTCAAACGAAATGCTATGAACAAGCCCTTAATGTGTGTTAACGCAATGCACTAGATTTACTACTCTGAAGACTCCAGAACTGGAAAGCATGGCCAACACAATGATATTCCAACAAATCACAGTACTGTTCATGTGTTTGGTAGGAAGACTGAGCAGACACTGTTCATCCATAATTGATGCAATATCTGTCCCCTCCGCTAGGTGGAAGTAGAGTTTTTAAATCAACTGGTTTGTCAGTGTCACAAGGAAAGTTCACTGAGACTACAGAGAGGCTGTTTACTGGAAAGTGTCATTATTTATTAATACCGCAGATGTCACCTTTAACGTTCTTTTCACCTGTATCCTGATCTCTGAATACATTATTAACAAAAGAAAACCCACGTGATCCCAGTGACATTTAAATGACTCATTTCTATTGTCATACTCTTGCATGAGGAATGTTTTTCTAAGAATCTAACGTATTAGGGATCAAATTAATATATGCCACTGTAAAGTTGTTTAAAATATCAAACTAGTATACCCATAAAATGTCTACTGAGGATACTTAATCACATTTAAAAAAAAGTTTGGGATAATGCGGGTTTTGAAACCTCGGTCAGGTTTTACTGCTGTCTGTGCCCTTGTTGGGACACTTCACCCTCTGGGTGACCATTGTCCTCGGGATAAACAGTAATGAGATATCTGAGAGTTGTCAGAAGGAGGAGATGAGGGGAAATCCTCCAGTGTCAGGGGATCTTCCCCTCGCTTTGCAGAGGTTGTAACCCATTTCCGCTTGTGTCAGACATCCCCTCAACGGGACACAGACAGGAAACAATCTTCTATCCAAAAACAATAATGGATTTCCTTACACTTTAAAGTAAATGTATCTGCCAGTGGTGACCTTCTAAAAATACTAGTTTACTGGCCATTTTCCTGACCCTCTGGCTTCAATACTTTCAGAGTAACTGACCAAAAACTAATACGCAAATCAGGAAACTTGGGAAAGTTAGAAATCCTTATCTAAAAACGTGTTCCATGTCAGTGACTCAAATTACTTTCTCACACATATCAAAATGTATGTAAACCTTAACAATTAACTTCTTAGTTGCTCCCCTTTGGTCTTAGAAGATTTTTGTTATATCTGTTTGAAAGATAAAAAAAAGCAACTCTTGATCCTGTCAGTAATCATAGAAAGTGTCTAACCTTCTGATATCAGCTGCAGTGAAATTTCAAACTTTATTATCAGCTCTGCCCAGTTCTCTCTGTGGACTAAAGAACATCTCCCCACTATGTTATGGAGATAAGGGGAGGGGGAGGTGTTTTACAGTCCTAACACACTTCTTGTCCTTGGGTGACACTGCTGCATCTCCATAGATTCAGCACAGTCAGTATTGTCACCCTTAGATAAATCTCCACCGCACCGATAAATTCCTTCCGTTCAAATCCTTTGGTGCTGGAACAACTGGTGGATGGCACTACAACTTATGCACTGAAAGATATGCTGTACACATACCAATCTGCTTCAGAATGTCGTCTTTATTAACATTCTTGCAGCATGAAATAGGTCAATGCAACATTTCGGGACTGTGCAGGGTCCCTCCGTCATTATTTGTCTGACGAAGGGACCCTGCGTGGTCTTGAAACGTTGCCCTGACTTATTTCATGCTGCAAGAACGTTAATAAAGATGACATTCTGAAGGCGATTGATGTGCAGACTAGTATCTTTCAGTGTTGTCACCCTAGGACAGGATGTCTGTTACTAGCAGGATGACCAGGTGGAAATAAAGGGAAAAAAGCCTGGAAAAAGAAAATGAATGCTGCCACCACATCTAAGGACTGGTAAGCTGCAATATATTCATTTTCTGCTCTTGGGTTTAGATACACTTTAAGCCAGATGATCAGTAATAGCAGCCTCCTCCATGCATTCTGATGTCAGGTTTTCCCCCAAGTGACAGTTGCTTTTTCTTCATTTACTGATATTGCGTTGCTAAGAAACAAAAACATTGTGAAAAGCAGTGTGTGCAGCAAGCCATAGCAAGCAATCATCTTTCATTACTCTGGCTGCTATGAGCCGATGAAAAGTGAAATGTGGTTGATGAGGATTACTGCACATACACATCATTACCATGCTTTAAAATGCCTCATTAACCCTATTGCTGCTGGGCTTCAGCTCACTTCTTGCACCTCAGACGACTGACCCAATATTTCCCTTGCATCAATAAATTGCACATTCTAGACATGATGCAACCCTTCGATGTTCTTCTGTTTGAGGCCAAATAAAACAGATTTTAGGCGAGGCTAAAAGAAAACAAAAAACACACTTTTAAAGTTTGTACTCACTTTAAGCCAGGAATATCCAAAAGATTTGTTAGACCCGTCCAGTTGATGTCCAAAAGCTGAAAAGACAAATGAATACACGTGTAAAACTTTAAAACAAAAGCAATTTCAAATCTCTATGGACTAAACTGCCTGGGATTCAGCTTAAAGGGACAGTGTCACTTTCTCCATTCAAGGCAAAACAACTAATCGCTCATCACCCCAGCAAAGTACACTCACCCATCAGCATTGTAGGAGTCCATACATTCTCCGGTGTTTGGGCCTAGCAATTGGCCCCTTAGGGCCCAAGCACTGTCACAAGGGGAAGGCCACATGCTCCCCAATTCCTGCAACAGAGCAATGGCTCCAACTAAGTTGCAAGGCGGTAAGGGAGAGTGAATGGGTGAGCAGTGCTCTCTCTGAGATGAAAGAGTTGGGTGGAAAAAAAAAATACAGTAGGAAATCATTGGAAACTTACACAAATGTTTATATTTTCATAAAAAATCCACAGTTTTTAGTGTACACGAACACAATCTCAAAGACAATTATCTCAAATACCCAAACATTGTAGATTAAAAACCTACGCATCTATTGTGTGTTCAGGGGTAGTGATTGATTCCTAACCACATGTAATTGTATCACATACATGCCGAGTGCCATTGGGCTGCCACTTTCAAATGCAGCCAATGTCCCCCAATCATAACATGAACGGGTGACAGCGGCCACATCTACATGGAATATTTGGGATTCCTACCAAAGGAATTTGTGGGTTCCTTCAACGCACAGTCCTACTCCATAGAAGCCATGGTTTCCATACACTGTATTGATGATGGCCAAATAGCCTGAGACAGCTGTATGCAGTTTGGAATTAATGGCTCTATGATATTAGGCTACATTTACACTAAACACCAGTTGTTTTGGATGTGCATCTGGCCAATGAGGTGAAACGCAATTTGCGGGGCCCCCGCCCACTGTCATGAAATGAGAAATTATCCTTTTATTTTTGGGATATGTGATGGAATAAGACGTGGGAATACCTTCTACCTACAGTAAGCTATTAAAATCACCCATGACAAGCAATGCTGATGTATTACTGGGATGTGAAAAACTCACTGTGCTGCTTCTGCTGATAAAATGTAGAACTAAGGTTGCTTTGCTTGAATTGCCAACATCAACATGAAACGGAAACTCGAGGTGCCCAGTTATTATAATTGGCCATGTGAGACCCTCAATCCTGCTGGAACTAGCAGCTTCAAGGGAACTGGATAAATCCTTAAAAAAATGCTGATAGTTTCTGCCTTGTGACTTCTCCTGTGGAAAAGATCTGGGCAACTCTTCCCCATTACTCTACAACTTCAGGCTACGGTAGACATGACAGAGAGATACACAAAATATTAAAGGTCTTGTGGTTCTGCCAACTGCAAGAAAAGCTGAGGTGTGCATGCAGCCGCATACTATAAATGAAGCTTCTGAGAGTAACCTTTCCCTTGGAACATTACATACAGAAGAGTCTAGCAGACTGTAATAAATCTCATCATCCCCATTTTAAAAGTTAAATTTTTCTGAATATTTTATCATTCCTTTCAATTTGTATGTTTATGTCAAACTGAGTTCAAGGAGAACTCTGCTTAGAGTTTTATTCCACTTTTGCAGTCAAATTGGGATAACATCTATTTTATATCTGTTACATGTTCCCATTCACATCGCATAACTTTAGCACTTAGCTACCGGAGCAATTTACATCGCATAACTTTAACCACTTCACTACCGGAGCAATTTTTTTACATATTTGTACACACATGTTCAAATCAGAATTTTTGGCTAGAAAACAGGCTAACCCCCCCCCCCAAAAAAAAAACAAAAAAACAATTCCTAATTTTCTGAAAGCAGAGGCCCTGCAGAATAAACAAATGCTGGATGCACTTTATGTTGCACAATAATTGTGCACATTTTTATAGGGGTCAATGTCTTGAGGAAACAATACGTTAAGGCCCCGTTCACATTGAGCGATTTATCGCGCGGTAATTCCTGTGTTATCGCGGGAATTTACAGCGCGATATCGCGGGAATTTACAGCGCGATATCGCTCTCCAATGCTTCTCAATCGGGCAAAGGGTCCTGCTGTCGCGGGTCGCTACAGCAGGACCCTTTTTGGAGCGGATTTAGCCGCGATTCAAGCTTGCTCAATGCAAGCATTTGCGCGATATCGCGCAAAATGCAAATCGTGCAGTGTGAATGGGGCCTAAAATTAATTTTAGTGCACACCAACACAATATAATACCCATTTTTTTAAAATTGCACGCACCCGTGAAATAGCAAAAACCTATGGTACCCAAATCTGCCCATAGGCGATGTTTTAAAAGCCTTTACTGCTCATCAATTTAGAGTTAAGAGTGAGCGATGGCCCTAGAATTATTGCTCTCACTCCAATGTATGCAACAATATGTAATGTGTGGTGCAATTGTTGTTTTTGGACATAGGAGCGCATGTTTGCGTTTCTATGTAAGTGTACGTTGGAGTGGAGTGCTTTAACCCTTTTCTTGTGCTTTTTTTCATGTCATAGATTTAATTACTACTGGTAAACTAGCTGAGCAGGACTGTCTGCCTTAACCAGGGGATAAAGATCTCAAGGCATTGTATGTTAATCAGTCTGTCCCCTTATCTGCTCACTGCCATCTTTTCTAACCACTAGAAGCTGCCTGTAGTGTACTATGTATAATTCTGCTCCAAACAAACAGCTATAACCTGAAAGGAATACAAAACATCCTTATCTGTCTTGTGTAAGCTACTACTCCCATCAATTCACCATGTAATTAAGATGAACACAGACAGACCTGTTCAGCCTGTAAGACGACCATGGCTCCCTCCATAGATACATTGGAGAAATCAGTATAACCATGAAGGAATAGGAAGTGCGTTATCTTACCAGGTAGGTTTAGATACACTTTGATATCTTATCTGCACCCAACTTGTTTTCATATAATTGGGGGTCAATTCCACCCAACCCCCCCCCCCTCACATCATCATGACTTACACATGAAGCATCTACTGGTTCATGATTGATGCCTAGAACATGGTTAGTAGGTGTAGCTACAAAGAGGACCTATTGTTGTCTCAGTTCCTAAGGCAAAACAGTTTCAGCAGATTTCTTTAAAAAAAAAAAAAAGAATCTGAATTCCCCTAGATAGTTGAAGACTATTTGAAGAGGCACACATCCTAAACTGTCAAATGCCAACTCATTGAATGTAATAGGAAACATCTGTGATCGCTACTAGCAGAGATGACACAATCTGTCCTACCCACAAGACCAGCACGCGACTATCACTGATAATTTGCTATACTTGGTTTGTGTTCATCATGCTGTAGTCTGAACCCCTGACATGACACACTGCCACCCTGACTAGGAGTCATGATTTTACTGTAGATCAATGTAACAGAGGAACAACAAAGGGCTGGCAGTCTGCACTGCATAAAGCCCACCACTATGCTGCCACATACATGCACACGGCCAGAGTTAATGGCCCGTTCACACCATATGCAGTGCGTTCCTGCCAGGTTCTGGCCCATTGTGGCCCAAGGCACATTGTGCCTGCGGTCCGGTGTGATCAAAATAGCACTTGTGCCTTGCGATCCTGTGCCTTGCGTTCCCGTGCGGGCAATCGCATTGCGGCCGAAGGGCGTGGCTACGGTGCCATTCACTTCAATGACCCGTCATGCCGCCTCCGGCCCCACAAAATAGTGAGCCGGCCGCAATGCGATGCAGTGCGTTCCGGCCAGAATCTAGCCGGAACGCACTGCATATGGTGTGAACGTACCCTGAGAGGTTAAGGTGTAGGAAATCTGTTGAGTCCGGACACTGTAGATTTTGCCCTCTAATATTGGGCCATATAGAGGTTGTGTTGCCCCCCCCCATGTACAGGTCTCTGCGTTCCCCACTACACTGCACATACCAAGTTACTTTGTTTGTGTTTGGGTGTAGAGTCTCTTGGATGTACAAGGTTCTGTCTCAGTGTATTGCTGGGCTTGGGAGACACTGGGATATGATGTTTGCTAAGAATATTTCTAAGCTTTTCTGACACTCCACCTACCGCTTCTCTCCTCTATATGATGGCCCCATGATCCAATCCCAGTCATTATCCCATACTGCATTAAATGGAGAACCCTACACCTATACGTTCGGGTGACTTTTTCTTGCCTTAGTTCAACTTTTTATTTATATAGCACTGGGGATTCCTGCTTGGTATCCTGGTCAAGGCACTTTCTGTATGGAGTATGCATGTTCTCCCTGTGCTTGAGTGGGTTAAACTGGCCATACACCTTACAATTATCTGCAGATTTTCTGTGGTCAGATGGAAAAGGTGCAACAGATTCCTCCATCTACAGTTAACTGTGTGGATGGAGTAATCTCCACCTGGGCCAATCTGTTGCACTTTTTCCATCTGACCACAGAAAATCTGCAGATAATTGTAATGTGTATGGCCAGCTTTACTTCTGGGTACTGGGTACTCCTACATTCCAAAGACATGCTGGAAGGTTAATTGACTTCTGTCTTAATCAGCCCTAGTGTGTGCGTATGTATGTGAAATAGAGACCTTAGATTGTAAGCTCCTTGAGGGCAGGGACTGATGTGAATGTGCAGTAGTATTGTAAAGCACTGAGTAAATTGAGAGAAAAAAAGAGAGAGATAGAGAAAGAGAACTTCTGTAAGAAGTACACAGATTTTCACTGTTACTCAAATCCTTTGAATTAGCTGCCTGTAACCCCCCTCTTCTAGAGAGCTCAACCACATCTCCATACAAAGCCATGCTCCTTTCCTGAGAAATTAAGCTTTTAATCTACACAAGTGACTAATATCTCTCCACTCTCAAAGTGCAACGCTACACAATGCAACCAGATGCCAAGTAACTCTTAACGGTCACAACGATACTTCTAAACACCAAGTCACTGGGTTCACTCAGACGCATTTGATAAGAATGTACATTATTATTAAATTAGTCAACATTGCCTTAAATGGCTGGAGAGGTCCTGCAAACACTCCGGGGACAGCAAGGAGGACGTCTGCCAATTATTCTGCTCTGGAAAATATGAGAAGGACAAAAATCCCAACCCATCAAAGAAGCCAGAGGATTCCACTGCCGTGCGCAAGCAAGGACAAGCTTTATATTTTAATCCTGTTTAAAATTCATGGCCTAACACGCTTTCCAGGCACCACATATATGTGAAAATTTAATGTAACTTTTACCAATAAAAGGAATTTGAAAATGCATGTCCAGACAAAATAAATAAATAAAAAAAACATTCAGTACATCTCTGCTACAAGTAGGGCTGCAACAACTAATTGACATAATCGATCATAATCGATGATTGAAAAAGTTGTCAACTTTTTCAATCATCGATTAATCGGCTTCCGATTGGTTGGCCCAGTGCAAGAAAATAACTGTTGACATGTCAAAAATTCAGTGAGCTTTCAACTTCCTGTCTGAACTGACAACACAGTGCCTCTGCTGCACTAAAAAAGTATTGTTGTCAGTACTGTCCAGTTCTCCCTGCTGGACTACAGAACATCTTTCCTCATGTTATAGAGATGAGAAAGGGGAAGTCATACTGAATATTTGTTTTCTATTTTGTCTAGACATACACTTTAATTCTTCAAACTGCTTACAAACCCCTATGTGAGAGCACTGTACAGGTGACAAGTAATCTTTATGGAGATATAAGGGGTATAATAACCTTAGAAAAGTATTATTTTACTAAAAAAATTGTTAAAAGCAGTGCTTAAAAACAGACCTCCATCAGAGGCAGTGAGTCAGTTAACAAAAAGTGACAAACATGGATCTATGCTCAGAATAAAAGGTAAAACAATTAAAAGGGGACACACTTGACGGACCACATAGTCTTTGTCTGCCCTTCTATGTATCTATAAGAACCCTTATGTCTCTGGTCTCAGCTGCACTCTGCCTAAGTAGATCCTGGACAGAGACCCCAATCAGCTCTTTTCCTGACTGCTAGCGGTCAAGATTTGACAGCTCCAAACCATGAAGTGCTCAGAGATGAGTGCTTCCAGGTTCAGTCACTGCAGAGGAGGTTGGGGAATGTATGTTGCCCAATCCCCTCGTTAGCTAGATATTTTTCTGGTCCTGGCTCCAAAGAATCCCTGCAGAATTGAGAGCTGATGACACTGCTCTGTGCCATTATAGATGAAATGTTTGGGTCTTCTTCCTAAATTCTAAACTGTATTTACCTTGTATCAGAAATCTGGCCCAGACTTCAAAGGTACATTTGAATGTGATTGGTGTCTGTGAGAAGCTTGTTATTACCGACACATTTTCACATTAGGGCTTTTGTGAGAACCAGCGAGAATCCTATGGTGGGTGTGTTTTTTTTTTTAGCATGTCAAATTTTTTATTGAGAATATTCACAAAGAAAACATTACACAACAAGCAGGCTTTGCTAAGCCACAGAGACTGTATCTCAGTACGCAGACTGAAAACCAGACATGTCCATCAAATACATCCATAAACAATAACTGAATAACTAGAATCTTGCAGTATGGATACAATCTGCTGGAATATTGCGCATCATATATGTGTAATATAAACAACTAGTAGCAGACCCTATAGCCATGAGGGTCGGTATTGTGGGGAGAAGACCAATTCGATCCATAAGGGGTATGCGTGGGTGCAACAAGAGGAACACTTGTGGTGGAAAGTGGAGGTGTGAACCTTGAATGAGCGCAGTAGAGCAAGGGTCAAAGGACATCCAGGGGCCCTAGGGAACCCGTCAGTTTAGCCTCGAGATACCAGTTGGTGGGTGTGTTTAGGAACATGTCTCGTGTATTACAAACATGTAAGCAAAGAGGGTTCCCAAATCATCGGATCTGGCAAAAGAATGGTAAGGACTGATGCACCATATTTACGCTTGGCTGAGAACAATATCTTGGAGCAGGCATGCTCTTTTAACGGTGTATATTTTAAGGAAACATACCTTTTTTTAGGAGCTATAAAGTTTCCCATAGGAAAAATGCTTGTTCCCTACATTAATTGCCTAAATGTCAGCTTTAGACAAAGCCAGCATGTCAATTTGCCACGGTGAGAAATATTTGCTCGCTCTTTGTCGAAATGCAATTATGAAAAAGGTAAGCAAACATATATTTAAAACAAGGTATAAAAGAAAAACACACAAAGCTGCATATTGACTGTGAATTAGAGTTGGCATTCAGTGAATTAGAAATGGCAATAATTGTTTAATTCATCTGCTTACTTCCCATAGTAAAATCAAGTGAACAGTTTTTAGACTGGAGTGAAGACATCAGCATCTAACAGAGGAGAATATATGAGTGCAGACCAGCTACCACTAGGAGGAGGTGCGGTGATGCGTGATCTCCTGTCTACTTTACAGGAACCTTTATGGAACAGAAGCGAATAGCTGCATAGTAATGTAATACATTCCACTTCTGACTCACCGGTTTCTTCAGGAAAAATATGGACAACGCTCCGATTATTGGGATGTCTCCAATCAACGGCTCCAAAATGACTCTCATTGTACCATGAAGCTGAAAATGAGTGAATACCGTTATGGAGAACTATTTGGGCTTTCCAGCTTAAACATGTCTAAACAAATACAAGTGCTATGTACTATAAAAAGGCTGCTGAGATCTAATGAGAAAACATTTCATTACAGTTTATCAAAAGGAAAAAAGAAAACTAAACTCTACAAGGCCGAAATGGAGTGGTACCGACAAATCAGACAACAATTCGACCAGTGTATGGATAGCTCTAGCTTTCCATATGTTGGACTGTTTACTCATTTTATATATGGGAGAACCTGGAGACAGAATGCTGCAGCAGAAGGAGTGAGGTATCATAGTGGGGGGCAAAGCCAGTGACTCTGGGTTTATTAGGAGCCAGTGGGTAATTCAGTCCTCTGGTGCCGAAGCTTTCTTGAAATATCAGTTTTGGGTGAACTCACCCTATAGGCAAGCTATGCAGGAGTGTCCTTACAAATAAGTATGTTTCTCAATTAAACACAATTATACTTCCCTGCAACTCTTTCAAATATCCACTCTTTAAATTAAACACAGCTCCAGCTAAGAAAGCCTTATATCTTAATGAATATTTACCTGAATACTCTTTACTCCAGCTCTGCAGAAATATCTCTTTATTTCCAAATCAATCTCCGTGTTTCCTACAAAACTGAGAAACAAAGAACCAATTCATGCTAGCTCTGTTGATTTTAGCGTAACATAATTGCACACATGCAACATCAATTAGCTACGAGACTGAAGAATGGTAACAGTATGTTGGGGATACATTTGACTTCTGCTTGAAAAAAAGATCCTCAGATTCTGAATTGTGTAACTTTTTAATTTTCTCTAGTTATTCCAGTTCTGTTATGACTGCTCGTGACATCACAATCCACCCTCGTTCAATCCAAGATCACCTTGCATTAATTAATAGAGGTACTAGGCACTCTCTGAATTGCAGCTGTGTCAAGAAGTCAAGAAGAGTGTTTAGAAGTGAGGCTGAGCTCAGGGCCATACAGGACTATACAGTGCTTTATAGTATCCCTGTGGGCTGACCTAGCATAACATATGTATACTTCCATTGGGCCAAGCTGGATGTTTTACAGGAAAAAAAAATTCCTAGGAGGTATATAGACAATGAACAAATATTTGTGTATTGGTCCATAGTAGTCCACAAAACAGGGTTTTGGTTCTAATGGATAGTTGTTAATTATGCCTAGAACTCTAGAACTTTGAGGCAGGCGAGGGAGCCGTAAATTAAAGTGACACAGAGCTGTACAGTGAAATGGGATGCTTGTTCTCTAAGCTGTTCATTCCACTTGAACAAATAAGGAACATTTTTGACATTCAAGAGATAGATGCATACTTTTCTAAAGCTTGCTGGTCTTCCAGTCGTGTGATAAAATTCATACATAACAGCAGGGATCATATGCCCAAATTTGTAGGGTTTTGGTCATGTACCCAGCAATGGAGAATGTCATTTATTTATCCCAAGACTGTTAAAGTGACTAAACTCAGAAGTTAAAGCTTAAAACTGCATTCAAATTCCTTAACTATTAACAAAAATGTATCTTATTTGTGTATCACTCGGCTGTAGATCCTCAAATCATCTCTGAATTCATGCTGACACTGTCCTTCCTTCTGGAGGGTGGCTACTTTTGTTCCCCATTGTCCCTGTGTGTGTTGTAAAGTAGCCACCGCTCCAAACTCGCTCCTGTGATAGACTATAACTTCAATACAAATTATAAACTATTTGAATCCATAATGGGAGGATCTACAGCCGATACAGTGGTACCTCTGGTTCAGGAACTTAATTCGTTCCACGATTCTGGTCGCAAAAAGAATCAAACTGTGATCCGACCGTGATCTCGACTAGAGGAAGCCATGACCATGTGTTCGGAGCAGAGAAGATGGCTGCGGTTGTGTTCGTCACCCGATGCGGAGTTCGTGAACAGAAGAAAAATTTTGCCGAACTTCCTGTTCGCAAACTGAAGTGTTCGCAAACTGAAGTGTTCGCAAACTGAAGTGTTCGCAAACTGAAGTGTTCGCAAACTGAAGTGCTCATGAACCGAGGTACCACTGTACATTTTTTTAATAGTTAAGGTACTTGAATGCATTTTTAGGATTTATCTCCTGAGTTTAGCATCACTTTTTTTTTTTTGTACAAATGGACTGTAAACAATAATCATTATGAATGTGAAAATGACAAAGCAGTAAAGCCGGCAGGCTCTAATGTTATATTTAATTCAACAGAAGCAGACTGTTGTGGCATTTTATCTCATTATAACTTGGTCAAGCGACATATTCTGACGTATTCAGAAACAAAAAATATTTCCTGTGTGCCATTTCTTCTATTATCGCATTAAGCAATGCAGACAGAATTTGTCTATAAATGCTGCCATTTAAGAAAAAGAAATAATTACAAGACTATTACCATCTGGGCTAGACACTGTACTGTATAGAGATTTATATGGCTAGTCGTGATTTCAGTTTTGATTCTCAGCCCGACAATCAAATAACCCCAGCAAAGAAAAACCCTGTCATTCCCCAATACCTGACATACCAAGATTTGTATTCAGACAAATGAGAACAATATCCAGACTTTAGGAATGCTTACCTTATCTTAAGATCCAAAATGATCTGTCTCTTGTCCACATTTTCTGTATACACTTTAACTCCATTCACTCTTAATGGCTGAAATAAGAGAGAAGAGAAAACAAAAAATGTAGGGAATTAAGTATTTGCTATAAATCATAATTGCATATATTGAATCCATGTTTCATGGTGATCTAGTTATCAGATTTTGTTGCAGAGTTTAATTAGGAGGGAGGGACGGGGACACATAAGAGATACTCTGAAGTGAAATAGTGCATGGAGGATGGTCTACATTCCACCAAATTTGATGGAGTATTGGAACACACTCCTCCAGGTCTGTAATGCATTTCAGCAAAACTGGACTTCTTTGCATCCTTCCATTGCTAAGTAACCCCTGTACCAAGTATATTCTGTTATATAGAGAGATGAATAGAGACTCTGCAACAAATGAAGATACATTAGGCAAATACACTTTCTCAACACATTGTCTAATGATGTTGGCGGTAAGGTATTTCTTGTGCTATCTCAGGGACCATAAAGGACAAGGGAGCCCATCCGAACCACAATAAGGTATATACAGTACAGAGAAAGTTCTATGGGGGGGGGGGGGGGGGGGCTGTATCTGGGTCCCTAACCTGCTAGGCACAGGAAAACAATTCTCTGAAAAGGACACTAAATGGAAGTTCTTGCTTAAATGATTTGTGAGTCATTGACCCAAAATAAGCAAATAGCCAGTGAAGAATGAAGTCATCTAACCTGTATACTTGTCCCAAGTCAGTGACATAATAAGTGATGGCGTGAGGTTAAGATTGATAAATCCTGGATGTTTACCCTTCACAGTGACGGTTATCCATACTTCCATACTGCTATTGGGAAAAAGGTTAATTTTAACTCAATAGGATCTGCCATAGGTCCTGCTTATAACACCAGGGATAAAAGCAGGTGTCTTAAAATGGAAGGAAGATGAGGAGCTGCCTTTACTAAGAGCTGCCAATGTAGAATACATTCTTAGGTGCATTCAACAGAGAAATGCACTGACAAGATTATGTACTGGAGAATAAGGGGTGCACAGGGTACCTCGCGGCAGCGGATCACCATTGATAGGAGTTATCCTTTAAAACTGAAATCTTGGCTGTAGAAAAATTGCCTAAATGCAAAAACCATGTGCATTCTAACTTCAGTCTTGGAGTCCTATGTATATTCCTTCTAGATCTATGCAGTATTCCAGCATCTGTGCAGGGTAACTGGTCTTGTCTCTGCTCCTCCTGTAGTTTTCTGCAGGCAGCCTGTAGTGGGAATACCTGCTGGTCCCTCCTACAGGTCTGCTCTCTGCACAGGCTATATGCAACACACTAACGAGGTCACAGTTTTGTTTACAAGGTGGTATCTGGGTATGCTAAGGTATTTGGTGCACACATAGGGGATCTCAATCATTTGTGCCATTTGAGGAAAATATTTATGTTATCACATTTAATGTATTTTATTTTTTTTTGCAAGGAAATAGTAATGAAACTGAAGAAAAGTTAGGATAACATTCCAGCAAAGCAACAGTATATATCAAGCAGTTTAACCAACACACACACACTGTGGGAAATATATTTAGATGAATGTTTTTGTGCCTGATGCAGGACACCGAGTGCTGAAAGTACCTTGTTGTACAGTGTAAATCAATGAAATGTCTCATATCACTGCCAAGCAAATGATGCAGATCTCCAACTACAGAAGGCAGCAGCCTGGAAGTATACAGCTCTTTAAATAGCAACACTAGAAGAGCTTTGTGCTAGTCATTTAATAGGAAACTGATAAGCTGTTTACTTGTCTAGCCCAAAATATTGATTATTATACTGTAAAAAGTGATAGGTCCCACATATGAGAAGTAGCAATCATTTATGGCCATTTACACATAAGTCACAGAACACGACGTCCTCCAGACACTTACCTGAGTGCCCATATCAATCTTCGTAAAACTAAAGGTGCTCAAATGGGCATTTGCACCTCTGACTGCCGGCTCTATGGTCTCTCTGAATAGCTTGTCTATGAACTGGCAGATATAGGGCCACATGTGTTTGACTGTCTGAAAAAAAGAGAAGAAAAAATATGTTCTTAGAAAACACCAGCTAAAACGACATATATTTATATCAAATGCTAGTAAATGACATTAGGATCTAGAATTTAGAACCCAAAGGTGTGATGAGATGAGATTTTAGTAACTGGCTTTTGATCGACAACCTATTCAAAATGGCTGCTGTGTTTTGGAACAATACAGGTTCACTAGAGCCCTTAAAATTGGTACAATGAAAGGAGGTAGTATTTCAAGTACAGAGTCTCACAACAACTGCAGGACATCTATTAATTTCCAACTCCCAGCTCCAAGACTGCACTACCAGCACCAACAAAGGGCTACTTTCTAATACGCAGAAAATGTAAAGCTACAATATGGGAACTCTCTCTTATTTCCTTGTGCCATCTCCATTATACCTTTTCAATAACTACACATTTTCAGTTCAATTAAATATAAACTGCAAAGCTAAGTTAAGATCTAAGAAGTCCACCTTTCAGTGATGGGGGGAGGCGGTGTGTGTGGGCAACAATGCTGCACTGCTTCTGAATTGAGAGCAGAGCTGTCACTCTTGTGTAGGCTGTGCCTGCTTGCACTATATCCAGATGAAAAAATATTACAGAGCGGCATGGCTATTAACACTGTCACTGCTAATTCATAAACCTGTAGCTTGTCGAACAGCACCTAGTCAAACCTACCTAGTCCTGCCTGCTTTTTTCTGGACTGACAGCACTGACTCTGTTGCTGAAACCCACATACTTTGAGTTGCAGTGTCTGGGAGGGGGGCATGTAATACACAAATTAATAGATTGGGCTCAGTCAGGGAAGGAAAATAAATTGTTTGTTTACTTTAGAACGCTTGTACATCACATGGATCCCAACTGGATTTGGTACTTGTTTAGGGTACCAAAGGATTTGTAGTCCACCACTGCAATCCAGTGTATAGCACAGTATCTCTCACTACACAAAATTGTCTGCTCTCCCTAACAGAGTGAAGTCATACTGACAATATGGCTGCTTTTATAGTGAAGGGGCTCGGTTTGTCTTATTTGCGATTAAGTTGACCAGGGGCAAAGGATAAGCAGTGCATTCTTGGTTGTTCCCAACTTCTGAAGTGAACTTAACGGTCAGTAGTTCAGAATTAGCCTGAATGGGATCCTGGAGATCAATCTCTTACCCAAGGTTGAGAAGAACCCAAGCCTTATCCCTATTGAGGACCAACTGACATGTGAGGCACATCAATACTGGGGCCACTCTGCTTATAAAGCAGAGATGATCTTATTTCTGGGGCAAAGTACACAGATACATATTTGCATCATCATACGCCACAGGAAACCCGACAGAAGACGTATGAGGAAAAAGTCAACAATGTAGTTTAAAAAAAGAAAGGATAGTATATTGAGTTATCATTGCAGTGTTTTCCTAAAGTAATATTAGATGTCACTAAACTGGTTTTCATGTTTCAAACAGTGTTTTGTGTACAGTGCTTGATATGTGAGGGAGACGGTTACAAGTGGAGACGCCGTACCTTGTTTAGCCATTCTGCCCTTTCTATATCTGGGAAATGGACCTGTAAAAGACAAGAAAAGAAGTTACAGGAATGTCAAAACAAACACACACTCATAATATACAGATACAGAGGTGTGATTTTCTTTCTGCTCTACTCCACCTAACAAGGAGCTAACCCTTACAGTGGGGGAGGGGGGGGGGGTAGCTCCGGGCCCCACTGCAAGTTTTATTAATAATATTTTTCTCCGGAGTTCTGCTTTAATCGGCCAGCCTGCTGCAAACAGTGCTGTTCCAACAAAACCCTTATGTCCATGGCAGTAAAAGGGTTAAAGCCAGACTAGTAGAATTTGCAGTGGTGGCTGTGAAGCCCCCAGCAGGGTTCTGGCAGCAGCAAAGATAGGAGAGTATAGACCTTTGGGGTTTACGCTGGGAAAGGAAAGTTAAAGTATAGCTGTACAAAATGTCTTCCTGGAGAAAATGCAAAGCAGAATTACAAATCTTTAGGTAGGTAAAGGTTCACATATATTTATTTCAACTCAGTATACAAATGCTTTGCTGGTACTCCACTTTAAAGGATAAAAGCAGTTAACAAAATGGTAAACCCACAAATAAACTTGCCTTCCCTGGCACAAAGTCAATGGGTGCCTACCCACTTTCAGAAGTGCCGCCCCTATGCCTAGAATGTGTTACATCTTCCTCGGCTAGTGCTCATCATGCAGGACGGAGCACCGATACACAGCGGTGTATCTACCGCAAGGCAAACTAGGCATTTTCGTAGGGCAGCACTTTCCAGCAGGGGGGCAGAAAACGCTGCCCCAAACCAATAAGGTGGACAGGGCCGGACTTGCCTTTGGCCCTGTGGCCAGAGGCTGGGCGTCACAGAATCAGGCTGTGGCAGCTGCCTAATGAAGCAAACTACGCCGCCGCAAGGCCCTAAGAGCGGCTGCCTAATTAGAGAGCTGCCCGGCAGAGGGGAGGGCCCAGTGAGATGCGGTCTGGCTGGCTTTGTACAGGAGGTGGTGGAGAAGCAGTGGGTGGCATCCTGTTGGCATTGATGGCACTTTGGGCTGCAGGTAAGAAGAGCAGCACATGCATGCAGGGAAAGGGACTATGCACAGCCCTTCTGAGACCCTGCACAGCCCACCATAGACCCCACACAGCTCTCCTGAAATCCCATACAGCCCACCTGAGACCATGCACAGCTCTCCTGAGATTGAGGGGGTGCCCGAGTTTAGTCTTGTCTAGGGCAGCACAAAACCAAAATACATCACTGCCTATACAGTCATATAGGAGGACAAGCAGCAGCAGATGTGCCGGTTGGTGGCATGGTGATGGGACACGTCAGCTACATGTACCTGGAGGAACCACAGGGCAGACTGGGGCACTTGCCTTATACCTGTTCTCAAGATGTCACTTTAGTGATCGGCTTTCCTGACATTACATGACAAATTGGTCCAAGGATAATAAACGTTTATCATTTGCAGTGCGTTCTGTAATCCTCTAATGAATGTGCCACAAATGTCTGCTTTACAGCTTGTAATAAACCTGAGAACTACAAATTAAAACTATCCTTAATCCACAAATAAAGGGAACATCGTGTTAATAAAATTAATTGCATGGGGAGAGTATGAGTGAAGGGAATATTAAGAAGAAAAGATAAAAGAAATTGAAACAATTGAGAACGAGAAACAGAAAGTGAGATGACAGAGACAGATTGAGAGGGAAATTCGTGTTTGCAATCCAATGATTCCCCCATCTGTGCTAAATAGAGTGGGCAGAGAAATCCCCGCTGCCAACTACTGTATTCATATTGATTAGCCGAACAGCGCCTGCATTTGATTGCATGTAGGCAAGGTTTAGTTCCTTTGACTAAGTTGGGTTGAAAAATCAAATGTTGTTGAGCGAGTGTGTTGGAGGGATATCACCAACAGGACCACCCACAGGTTAAAATCCCAGCAGTGTTTGGCCAGCTTTATAGAAGGGGTTCAGAAAGTTGGGTCGAGTGCTCTCTATTCAATCCTATGGAGAGTTTGTACTCCATTAGACTGAATATAGAGTGCACTGAGCATGTGCAGGCTAGTGATGGGCTCGGGCGTGTTCGCAGCTCCACGTGCCGAGCCTGCCAGGAAGCTGACAGCGCCACCGCGCCAATCACAGGCACTGAGACATATCCCGATCTCTGCAGCTGCGGAACGAGAAAATGTCTCAGTACCTGTGATTGGCGCTGCGGCGATGTCAGCTTCCTGGTGGGCTCGGCACGTGGAGCTGCGAACACGCTCGAGCCCATCACTAGTGCCCGCACGGCTCAGAAGATTCTGAAGAGCGGCTCTGCGGCCTGCAGGTGGATATCTTCCTGGATTGGGGACAGGTGAATACAGGACTGGCATGGGAGCTGGAAACACGACAGGCTACAAAAGGGACAGTTACAGTTTAGCGCCATTTCACACATTACATTGTGATCATGCTCGCTCCTGTGATGGGGTGCCATTCATTTTTAACAGCACTTCAATGCACATTCTCAGCGCACTTGCAGCACAGTGCAACACCTCACCTACAAGTGTTAGAGTGCACTGCGCTGTCAAAAACAACGTGCGACACTGTCACACGTCAGCTCTATAGATCAAGAACTGAGCAATAACAAACCGCTGATCGTTCACGATCTTCTCCCTGCAGAGAGTGGTGACCGCCAGTCACCACACCCCGCAGGGATTCCCCCCTCCCCTCTCCGTTCCTCCAGCGCTGACTGGAGAGACAAACAGGAAAGGGAATGGTCACAGCTGGTTCTGGCTCTAGAGAGGCAGAGTCAGCTGCCAATCAGGCAGTGCAATGGATCACAACAATATTGTCAGACAGCTCTGCGCTGACTGCAAATAACGGCATCAGCTCGCTATTTGCTGACATTTGGGTCACAGGGGGACATTAGCAAATGTACTCTTGTGACTCAAAAGAGTACTAATACCAAAAAAAGGTTTGGTCATAGTTCTCTTTTAATGTGTGTGTGTGTGTGTGTGTGTGTGTGTGTGTGTGTGTGTGTGTGTGTGTGTTTTAATTGAAGACTGAAAATGTAACCAATTTTTAATTTGGGATCCAGACATTTCCCACTGTATCACATTGCTTTTTTTGTATCACAGCTACCTGTTAAATTATTTATTATATTCCATAGTGCATTGTTTATGTTCGGGATCAACACTGTGACTTGATCTGTTGCACATTTCCCTGTTCCTGCTAATATTTTCTGTACTGCTGGCAGCTCATTACAACAGAAAATGTAACAGTACTATAGCACAATCATTACACTTTTGTTGTGTGTTTGTTTATTTAAATAAAAAAAAGATAATATAAAGATAAGAAAAAGATAGAATAAAAGATAAGAAAAGCTGATGACACAGCAATCCTAAGAATGAACAAAGCCTGAGAGTGCTAAGAGATGTACTTTATAAACAGCCGTACCTCCAGCACCCGTCGTGAGCTTCTCCACCGACAAATAACACACGCATGGTGTGCGTGTGTTATTTGTTCTCCTTTTTCAATGGATTGGGAGAAATAAGTGACACAGAGATTTTCCAGCATCTTGGAAATCTTTGTGTGAAAATAAATTCAGAATTGCATTAGACTATTTAACGTTTAAAGTCCATTTCCACCTTTGCAGAAGTATTTTTTTTTAAAACCATGCCAGCAATGTACACCGAGTGTACATAAAGCAGACATATGCTGCTGCTGTATATGAGCACAGAAACATAATTTTGTTAGCTGTCCTCTTCATGGCTCCTTTTGAAATGGCTGACTCTAGGCTCTGCAGACAGTCTGTGTAAATTACAGACTGCTGTGCACAGTGGGAACTACAATGTAGGACATGGGCAACTACATTTCCCACAATGCTATGCTTCCCTCGTGCACAAGCTTCCCTGTCCAACATGAGCTCTCTCTCTCCCTATTCATTAATATTCATAGTGTCAACCCCCCAACCTGAAAAGTGCAGAGTGACCTGGAAAGGCAGGGCTGGTGTGCAGTGATCTTGTCATGATGACCCCTTAGGGAAGTGGTCAGCTGCTTTACAGTCTGTACAAGACAACCCAACCCTAATGTCAGACTGAGTTTCCTGTGGAGGACATTTTCAATTGCTAGGACTCAGGCACACTAGAAATTCCACAAAAAAAGTTAAAAAAGCCATGAACATGTGCAGACATATACATCATCACTGCACCTCTACATTACCACAGAAATGTTTATTATTATACAGGATTTATATAGCGCCAACAGTTTGCGCAGCGCTTTACAATATAAGGAAGACATTACAATCACAATACAATTCAAGACAAGATGGTAAGGAGGGCCCTGCCCCTGAGGGCTTACAATCTAAAAGAGGAGGGGAAATGCTATCCAAGTTAACAAGGAGGAAATGGGGTTTAAGGGTGAATTCACACCAGAAAGGTGCTCTAAACGCATGGGTGCTGGTGCACAGTGATATAAGCAATGCAGATGCACCCATTCACTGATATTATTATTTTTTGAACTTTATTAACATTTCATTCAGTTCTATAGTCACAGCATGGTACAATGTAGTTCTACCCCGCTGCACCGAAAAACGTGCTGCATGCAGTAATGTTTTTCAGTGCACACCACAACATTATGGTAATGTGAACTGAGACGATCAATTTGAAATGGCCAATAGAAGGCTGGCTATTGCACCAGCCCACTACCTGCTGTATTTACATTAAACTTTCATCTGTGCCGCTGTCATTCCCTGGCTGAAGCTATTCCGGTTATTCCAACAAATTATAAAAAGGTGGGAAAAAAGTCATTTTCGATTTCAGCCTGACGAATTCTGCTGCGGGTGGTGCGTTGCATTGCCATTCCTTTCAATGGTGCCCCAAACCCACAGTGTGATCGCCCGCACTGGAACGCATGGTACCGCAATGCTGTGCGATCCAGTGCAGTGCAATTGCAAAAAAAAGTGCACGAGTTTTATTCTGAAGTAAACTTTATAACACTGCAATTGTGTATTTTCTTTTAAATTAAGGATGGTATTTATTTCATTTTTTTAATCCGATTAATCGAAAA